GGGGGGGCCCTCGGGGACCCTCGGGGACACTGACTTGGCCTTGAACTCGTCGACCATGCCCCGGACGTGGCCGAGCTCCGCCCGCAGCCGCTGCCGCTCCTGCCCCAGCCCCTCGAGCTGCCGCCGCAGGGTCCCCGCGTAGCTCTCGAGGAGCCCCCCCAGCCCGCTCTGGGGGGGCGGCTGCGCCCGCAGGAGCCCCCACTTGGTCTCCAGTAGCTTGTTCTGCTGCTCCAGGAACCGCACCTGGGGCGAAAGGGGGGGTCAGGACCCCAAAACCACCCCACACACACCCACAAATCACACCTAGGGGGAAAGGGGGGTCAGGACCCCAAAACCACCCCAAAACCACCCCCAACGCACCCAAATCACCCCTGGGGTGGAGGGGGGGTCAGGACCCCAAAACACCCCAAAATCACCCCCAACACACCCAAATCACACCTGGGGAGAAAGGGGGGGTCAGGACCCCAAAACCACCCCAAAATCACCCCCAACACATCCAAATCACACCCTGGGGGGGAAAGGGGGGTCAGGACTCCAAAACCACCCCAAAACCACCCCCCACACCCCCCCAAATCACACCTGGGGCAGAGGGGGGGGGGGGTCAGGAGTCAGGACCCCAAAACCACCCCCAACACACCCCCAAATCACACCTGGGGGGAAAGGAAGGGTCAGGACCCCAAACCACCCCAAAATCACCCCCAACACACCCACAAATCAACCCTGGGGCGGGGGGGGAGGTCAGGACCCCAAAACACCCCAAAATCACCCCCAACATACACCCACAAATCACACCAGAGGGGAAGGGTCCAGAAGGTCCCTAAGGGGGGTCACAGGGTGTCCCCAAGGGGGGTCAGAAGGTCCCTTAGGGGGTCTCAATATCCTCAGAGGTCCTGGAGATCCCCAAGGGGGTCTCAATGTCCCCGAGGGGGTCTCAGTGTCCCCCCGAGGGTCTGGGAGGTTCCCGAGGGTTTCAGGAGGTCCCAGAGGAGCTCAGAGGGTCCCTCAGGGGGTCTCAATGTCCCCAAGGGTCCAGGAGGTCCTGGAGGGTCTCAGAAGGTCTCTGAGGGTGTCAGGAGGTCCCCAATGGGGTCTCAATGTCCCCAAGGGTGCAGGATGTCCCTGGGGGTGGTCTCAACATCCCCAGGGGGGGTCTCAATGTCCCCAAAGGGCTCAGGATGTCCCTGGGGGGCTCAGGAGGTCCCTTTGGGGGTCTCAATGTCCCCAAAGGCTCAGAGGGTTCCCAGGGGTCTCAGGAGGTCCCTGGAAGGGTCTCAGGAGGTGCCTGAAGGGTCTCAATGTCCCCGAAAGGCTCAGAAGGTCCCCAGGGGGCTCAGGAGGTCCCTGGAAGGGTCTCAACATCCCCAAAGGTCTCGGGAGATCCCTGGAAGGGTCTCAGAGGGTCCTTGGAAGGGTCTCAACATCCCCAAAGGGCTCAGAGGGTTCCCAATGGGGTCTCAATGTCCCCAAGGGGGTGACGAGGTCCCAGCTGACCCAGGAGGTCCCGGGGTGGTCCCACCCCCCCTTCAGGGCCCCCCCCGTTCCCCCCCCGGCCCCACCTTGTCGATGAAGGCGGCGAACTTGTCGTTGAGGGTCTTGATCTGCTCCTTCTCCTCCCGGCGCAGCTCCTGCAGCTCCGGATCCACGGACACGTCCAGGGGCGTCAGGAGGCTCCTGTTGACGCTGACGGACGTGATCCCCACCCCCGGCACCCCCGGCACCCCCCCGGACCCCCGGAAGGCGCCGGGGCCGCGGCGCAGCCCCCCCGAGGGGCCGAAGGCCGAGGCCGAGCTCATCCTCAGCGCGGGACCCGCCGAGAAGGAGCGGGAGGAGAAGGAACGGCCCGGAACGGCCGCGCCGCTCCGGAGAGGGATGGACACGGACATGGCCGGGAACGGGGGGAAAGGGGTCGGGAAGGTGGCCGGGAGGTGGGAAAAAGGGAGTTGGAGGAGACTGGGAGAAGGTTGAGAAGAGAATGGGGGAAGGTTGGAAGTTGGGGAAGGTTGGAAGTTGGGGGAAGGAGGTCGGGGAAAGGTTGGGAAGAGGATGGAGAAGGTTGGAAGAGGTTGGAAAGAGGATGGAGAAGGTCGGGGGAAGCTCAGAAGAGGGTCGGTGAAGGCTGAGGAGGAGGAGGAGGAGGCTGCAGGAAGGATGGACGGAGGCTGGGGAAGGTTGGACAGAGGTTGGAGAGAGTCCAAAGAGGTTGGAGGAGGATGAGGAGGATGAGGAGGATGAAGAGGCTGGAAGAGACCAGGGGAAGGCTGGAGGAGGTTGGGAGAGGCTGAGGAGGATGAGGAAGGCTGGAGGAGGTTGGGAAACACCGGAGAAGGCTGTCAGAGGCAGAGGAGGAGGAGGACGGCTGGGAGAGGGTGGAGGAAGGCTGGAGAGGGTCAGGAGAGGATGGAAGAGGCTGAGGAGGATGAGGAAGGCTGGAGCTGATCAGGAGAGGCTGGAAGAAGCTGGAGGAGGATGAGGACAGCTGGAAGAGGCTGAGGAGGATGAGGAAGGCTGGAGCTGGTCAGGAGAGGCTGGAGCAGGTCAGGAGAGGCTGGAGGAGGCTGAGGAGGCTGAGGAGGATGAAGAAGGCTGGAGCAGGTCAGGAGAGGCTGGAGCAGGTCAGGAGAGGCTGGAGGAGGCTGAGGAGGGTGAGGAAGGCTGGAGCAGGTCGGAAGAGTCTGGAGGAGCCTGGGAGAGGCTGAGGAGGCAGACGAAGCCGTCGGAGGCAGAGGAGGACGAGGCCGAAGGCCGCGCTCGGGGCGGGGAGGCTGCGGCGGCTCCGGCAGCCCCGGCAGGACTGGCCCGACGGGTCGGGCCGGGCGGGTTTTCCCGGGCGAGTTTTCCCGGGTTGGTTCCTGAGTTTCTCCCGGAGCCGGGGGAGGAGACGCGGGGGGAGGGACCGCAGGTTAACCCCTTCGGGGCAAGGGAGCCGCGGGAGCCGCGGGATCGGTCGGGATCCGCGGAATCCGCGGGATCCGCGGGATCGGGGGCGCGGGGAGGGGGCTCACCCCAAAATGCGGGTCCCGGGTGGGGTCGGGACAGGGCGGAGGGTGGGACCCCCCCGTGGGTCCCCGTGGAGCGTCACCAAGCTTTGACCCCCCACCTGGGTCCCCAAATCTGGGTCCCCCAAGCCCTGCCCCCCTGCCCTGTCCCTCACCTGGCTCCCCCAGGCTGGACCCCCAAATGTCACCAGCCTGGGACCCCAAATCCTGTCCCCAGTCTGTCCCCAAAGCCCTGAGCCCAGTCTCTGTGTCCAGTCCCTGTCCTCCAGTCTGTGCCCCATGACACCAGCCTGGGACCCCAAAATATGTCCCCATCCCATGTCCCAAACCCCTGTGCCCCAACATGGGACCCCAAACCTGTGTCCCCAGCCTTGGAGCCCAAATTATGTCCCCACAGTGTGTCCCCAACTCCTGACCCCACGCCCATGTCCCCCAGTCTGGGTCTCCAGTCCCATGTCCCCGGCCTGAGACCCCAAATCCTGTCCCCACAGTGTGTCCCCAACCCTTGACCCCAGTCCATGTTCCCCACCTGGGTCCCCCAAACCTGAGTCCCCAACCTGGGACCCCAAATCATGTCCCCAAGCTGTGTCCCCAAGCCCCACCAGGGCCCGTCCCCTGCCCCAAACCCCACCCCAAAGTGGGGGAAACACCCCAAAAAAAGGCCTCGGATGAGTCCAGGGGAGTTCAGGTGGGCACAGGTGGGTACAGGCGAGTTCAGGTGGGTACAGGTGGGCACAAGTGTGTACGGGTGGGCACAGGTGAGTTCAGGTGGGCACAGGTGAGTTCAGGTGGTTAGACATGAGTTCAGGTGGGTGCAGGTGGGCACAAGTGAGCACAGGTGTGTACAGGTGAGTTCAGGTGTGTACAGGTGGGTACAGGTGAGCACAGGTGGGCACAGGTGAGTTCAGGTGGGTGCAGGTGGGCACAGGTGGGCACAAGTGAGCACAGGTGGGTGCAAGTGAGTCCAAGTGGTGCCCACAGGTGCCAGGGGGTGCAGGTAAGTGTGTACAGGTGTGCACAGGTGAGTTCAGGTGGGCACAGGTGTGTTCAGGTGAGCACAGGTGGGTACAGGTGTGTACAGGTGGGCACAGGTGAGTTCAGGTGGGTGCAGGTGGGCACAGGTAAGTTCAGGTGGGTGCAGGTGGGTACAGGTGAGTTCAGGTGGTGCCCACAGGTGCCAGTGAGTTCAGGTGTGCACAGGTGAATTCAGGTGGGTGCAGGTGGGCA